AGATTTGTTGTATCTTGATATAAGTACAGCTCTAATTGAATCAGTGTGTCAGCGAAAGGCATGTTTTAGAGTCTCTATTTACTCCAGTTACCAATTAATCGATTAATTTAGTCTGTCCTCTCTATCCAAATTCTCAACCTTTGGTATTCAAAAGTGTGTCCTTCTTCTTGAGGTGCAAGTGTGTATATATATATATATATATATATATATATATATATATATATATATATATATATATATATATATATATATATATATATATATAAATCTAAACTTCTTTTTTGCATTTTTTTTTTGTTTTGTTTTTGGCAAATTTATAGAAAAAGTTTGAGCTTAAAATCCAATTGTCTGGACATCAGAAGTCTGAAAAACATTCTGTGTAGCATCGACCTGGACTTCCTCAATATCATCGTCAATGAAGTACTTCTGGGTGAGGTAGTGCAGCCTGGTACACCGTCTCATTGGGATGGCTCTGCGGCACCTTAAGCCATTCCAGTCCTACCCGCTATTCAATCAACAGACAAAGCTTTTCGGTTTCTCCAAGCTTAGTTGACAATTGTTTCCATAATCGATTAATTCATCCCTGGTCAAAGCTATGTACAGACAAGCTGATGGAAACTATTATTTTCATGATCCTCATCAATCGGGATGTCATCTTATTGGAAAGTCAAATAATCATATGAATGTTCCACATGTCCCTACTTGATACATTTCCAAACACACCACGAATTGCCCCTTTAGTTTTCCAAAGCAATGAACAACTCTGTGCTTCTACAACTCAAACAGGAAATAAATTAGCTTTTGGACCAAAGATGAATGTTAGTTTTTATGGATTGCTAAAACACTAAACCGTGTTGTCTGAACAGAACCCTCAGTTCAGACAACATAGAATACAGCTACCTTTTCTTCCCAGCTCCTTGCTTGCTTGCCTTCTTTTACTCTTAACTTTATTATGCCACTGCTCTTATGGCAAACTAGTAACTACACCTCCCAGCTTGCCAAGTAGTCACCTATAGAGGTTGTCATACTACGACTGTAGTAAGCAATGCCCTATTTTTCAGCTACTGGCTGAGGCGAAGAGGAACCCAACATCTCAGTTCAACCACATAGTAGACCTTTTGATGGTACACCTTTGATGGAGAATCTCTTTATCGTCACCCCTCAGAAGCGAGGGGTGAAAACGCCATTCCTTTCTTTGTAAATACTCTTCCCCTTGGCAACCTTGACTTGGGATTTGATTTAATGTTGATATTTATCCAAGAGAGGCATGCTAAAATTTTCTGTTTGATGTTTCCTAGTGTGGCTAAATTCATTTGAAAATCATTTTATTGTGTTGGTTTCTGTTAAGCAGTTGCCCCGAGAGTGACTGAAAGTAAGGTTATGCCTGATGCGCATACAAGCCACAGATAAAATTAGCATCCTCTCGCAATGTCTCCTTTTCTGGCTGACTCCTGGGGTGGGCGTGTACAGCACAAACACCAAGCTTACAAAAACCCAGTACACCAGGAAGTAGAAAACACAGCCAAGTCTTTTCATGCCATAGATGACGGACAGTAATTTCTTCCCGAGAGTTTTTTCACAATTCATTGATTGTGGTGGTATCCTTCCATCTATTTTCCGTCACGTTTACCCCAAGTGGGGTTGCGAGGGGTGTTGGTGCCTATCTACGAGCGAGATGCAGGGTAAACCCTGGACAGGTCGATTGTGGTGGTATTTATGAGATAAATCAATGCATGTCTCCATATGTTTACATTTGCAAACTCTCGCCAGCAGAAGCTGTTGCTCTTTCGCCATGTTTTTTTTTTTTTTTTTGCGCTGACCTGTCCATGTATTTACAAATTTTCCTTAGTGTGCTTTGCATGGAGGCTGTACGGCGGGGCTTGGAAGTCATAAATCATGTTATTTTCCTATACTTACCTCACGGATGCATCAAGCATTTGCCAAGCTTTATGCTGAGTAACGGTTCACTGTCTCTCTCTTAAGCTGCCCTTCCTTTCATCCGTTTCACGGTTAGCTTATTGTTCCGACTCTGTGTCTCTACGACCTGTTGGAGCTAGCTGGTTGGCTTTTTTAACCCACAGTCATCCAGGTTATGGCAACCGTTAACAGGCTTAAATTGGAAGGCAACCTGTCAGTTCGACAACTATCCAGGAGTCTTCGTCAATTCTGTTGGCTCACAACAGAGCAATCTCTAGTTGGAGCACTGATGTATTTTAGCAGCATGGACGTGCATCCTCCTAAGTCCAAGTCAGATGCAAATCAAGTAGGCACCCGATTTTTTTATTTTTATTTTTGGATTATTGGAGTTTTTTGTTGTTCATGTGCCGTGTGATTTGCCTTTTGAGTCATAATAGTAGTGCTTATGCCGTTTCTTGGGAATGTCTTCCATGATTAGCTTTTTAATGCTTGGAAGCTAAAACTGCAAGTCTGCCCCTCTGTTTGGTGATGGCTTTTTACAAAGATTGCTTTCTCTATCCCTCTTTAAAGCCATCTGTCCTCTCTATCCAAAATCTGAAAACTGGTATTCAAAGGTGTGTCCCTTTTTTTTTGAGGTGCAAGTGTATATATAAATCTTGCCCAGAAATGCTGGCTCTTTGTCGTATGTTTGTCTGATTGTTGTTTGGTTTCTCCAATATAGAAGGCTGTACAGTCCTCACTGTTCTAGATCGCATACACAGCGCCGTTCAGCTTAGGTTTGAGTGTTCTGTCTTTAGGAGGAACCAGTTTTTGTCTGAGTTTGTTTTTAGTCTTGAAGTTCACTGGTATGTTGTGTTTTGAGTAATTCCATCTGAGTTTCTCAGAGATTTCTTAAACATATACAATTTCAATGTTTTTGCATCTCTGTGTGTTCAGCAGTGTGGTTCTTCCTGCTAGTTGGTTTTGCTGACTTAATAAACAGCCAGTTGGGATAACCACAAGCTTCAAGTGATTTCCTAACATGTTTTTGTTTCTTTTATTTACCCTCTGTAGTTTAGGGAATATTGTCAGCCCAGTAACTCAGCGTCCTGATCACTAAAAGTTTATGTTCCAGTAGATGATGAGAGTCAAAATGAATGTATTGGTCTGTATGTATAGGTTTCTGGTAAACCTCAATATTAAGACTTTAATTTGTCCTCAATGCCCACAGCACAATATTATTTAACCTTGCTGTTTGTTAGTTTTTCCATTGTGTTTTTTATATTAGTGGTAACTACTGCAATAATTACTGTAACATGTTAAATGTATTGTAACTATTGATTTAATAAATTTTAACTTGATAAAATAAAAGATAAAATGTGGTTGTCTGCAGTTTATTTTAAATTAGTAAACATTTGGTGCTGCTGACCACCTCTACAGCTGAGCTGTTGATGACCAGTGGAGCGTGGTTAGGCCGGTTCTTCCTAAAGTCAACGATGATCTCCTTCATCTTCTCGACGTTCAGGATCAGGCCATTGACTCTACACCAGCTGCTCCACCTCCACCTTGGTCCGTAGACGCCTCGTTGGACGGGGTCTGTCTGTGGTGTGCATGAGTCAGCATCCGCCATGTTGAATGTGGCAAATCTGCTGTTAGACTCAGACACTTAAACAGTACCAGAGGGACTTTAATCTCAGAATATATTTTATATTTGTAATATTAAATTTTTTGTAATATTACAAGTTTATTTCGTATCCCTTGGCTTCATCCTGACTTTATTCTCACAAAGAAGAAAAAATGATTTTAAATAATCAAACATGATCTTATTACTCCAAGACTGAAATTGTTCTACAAACTGTGATTACTCTGGAAATATTCCCCTTTAGTTATCAATATATGACATTTTTCTCATAACATTACCAATTTTGTTCTACTTTTTTTTTTTTTTCTAACTTTATTGTCCTAGGACCTTTTTTTCTTATATTACCTGTATTAATTTTATCTCTTTAATGTCCCCCAATTTCCTTTTTAATAAAATTGCCAAACTCACCTAGAGCCATAGCTCTGTTGAACTTGCCATTCCAATTGATTTCACATAATAAAGTAAAAAATCTTGGTGTTGTTTTTCAGGACCTGTCATTTAAATCCCATATCAAAAAGATTTCTAGAATTTCCTTCTTTCATCTGCGCAATATTGCAAAAAATAGAATTATCCTGTCCAGGGGTGATGCTGAGAAACTAGTCTATGCATTTGTTACTTCAAGGCTGGACTATTGTAATATTTGTAATATTTTACTATCAAACTATAGTTAAAAGTCTTCAGCTGATCCAAAAGTCTTCCTGTTTAATCCAGAATTGTTCTCAATCTGTAGGTTTACTAGTGGTTCCTAGAATTTCTAAAAGTAGAATGAGAGGTAAATCTTTTAGACCTTGAGGCAGACACCCTGTCTACTATTAAGGGTAGGCTTAAAACTTTTCTCTTTGATAAAGCTAGTTAGAGGAGCTCAGTTTTTAAAGTTTTCTCTATAGTTATGGTGCTATAGGCTTAGACTTCTGGAGGACATGAGGACTCGTTGTCAACATTCGGCTTAATTGTTTCTCTATGCTCCCATTCTGCAGTATTTGTTCAATCTCTAACATTTTGTTCTCTGCTTTTTCTTATAACTTCACCTGTTTCCATTGCAATCATGTTTCTCTGAATGTGACTAACTGTATTTGCTCTATATATCTATTTAAAGCTATATCTATCAATATAAATATATCTATCTAAAGCTATATCTATCAATATAAGTATATCTATCTAAAGCTATATCAATATAAATATATCTATATAAAGCTATATCAATATAAATATATCTATCTAAAGCTATATCTATTAATATAAATATATCTAAAGCTATATCTATCAATATAAATATATCTATGTAAAGATAAATCTATCAATATCTATCTATCTATCTATCTATCTATCTATCTATCTATCTATCTATCTATCTATCTATCTATCTATCTATCTATCTATCTATCTATCTATCTATCTATCTAATAGCCCCCCCTTTGAAATGAGAATGAATGTCCTGTCCCTCTTTCGTCCAGTAGGTGTCAGTAATGCAGGGTTTGTCTGTCAACTGTTGCTAAGAAGAGAAGAAGAAATCCTCCTCTGTCACGTGACACGTTGTTGTTTTTTAAATCTGACCGCGGGACTCCGCTGAGATAACCAGGCTTCCAGCGTGGAATAAAGAACAGGAATCACAGTAAGTTTTTGTCAAAAACTTTTTGAATATAACCCATTTTAACCCGGGAATATTACAGCTAAATAAAGTAAATATAAGAAAACGGACTAGAAAACGTTCTCTCTTAGAACAGAGAGCTGAAAAACTATCTTACTGATAGCAGGCTGTCATGAGTTAGCTTGGCATTGCTAGTGTTAGCTTGTAGCCTGGTCAGCATTTTAAGCTGTAGAGACCTTACTTACTTCAGGGTGTTTAGCTTCACCCTGCTACCATAGTTTAACAAGATGTTTGTGCCTTTTTAATCAGTATAAACAAGGCTTCTGTAACTATACAGCATATTTAAATTGAACTTTTGTTTTGTGCCAAGAAACATTTAAATCAAACACAGAAAGAGTCATGCAGACATGAAAAAACAAAAAAGAGAATGCAAAGAGCTTAAGACAAAATTTTTTGGCATATATTTTTCTTTTTTTATCTTTATAAGAGAAAAGAGTTTAGAAACTGTAAATTTACAGTCATTTCTACTATTTTTCAAGGCTGTAGTTTTAAACAGATTAAATTGTCCAGTGAGCTGTTTCCAAACGAAATTTATTTTTGTTTTACACTTGTGTAAACAAAATGACAAAATCTCTCTAAAGATGGAAAAATGGGGTTTAAAGTAATCGATAAACCAATGAAAGGAGAATTTAGCATTTCTCCATTTTAGCACAGTGGATGTGAAATTTACCCAACAGCAGGATGATATTAATGGTATCAGAAACAGGCTGGGGGAGATGGTCCATATAAAAAATGACATCATTTAGGATTTAAATTTAATTTTTTTGCTGCAGCTACACTGTTTTCTTTCAGCAAACCAGATGCTACATTCTACTTTAAGCAAAAAAAGACGACAACAAAAAACTGCTACTAAGACGGCATCCACAATATTGTTATAGTGGGTATTTTTTACCTTTCTACCAATAAATACTTCTAGCTCTTAATTCAAACGTAATAAAATCTAGAAATGGAACAAAATCATGTATGATTATGTTAGCTGCAGTGTATGAAGATTATTATTATTATTATTATTTTTAAGTGTGTATTTGAAGTTGTAGATAGAGATGCAGTCTAAGTTTTGTATTTGTAGAATAAAAAAAATCACAATTACAATTTTTATTTTTTTTTATTTTTTTTACAACTGTTCAAATTTTAAGTACAAATGCACACATTCTGTTCTACATGTTTCACATAAAAAACCTCTTACATTCTCAGTTTTGCTCCAAATAGTTCAGAACTGTTGTTGCAAAACTATTTGTGCATTTTAACTTTGGTGTTTTGTTAATGTAGTTTTTTCTTTTTCTTTTTCTTTTTTTTATTGTTGTCACAATTAAAATAAAAGTTACACCTCTTCAAATTCCTGACTTACAGTACAGACATTGTTCTGTGAGTTGCACATTAAACATGTATTCCATTCAGTTTTGCTACAGTTGATCTAAATAAAAAAAATGGTGCAAAACTCAAATGATCTTTTATTGGGATAAAGGCAACAGACGCATATTTGGAAATAGGCCTTAAATTGTGTTTGACTTTATGAACATTGAAAGACCGAGGGTTGATAGGCGCCTTTTTAGGATGTTGATGTTTGAATTCTAATAGTGGGAAATATATTTAAGGGAAGGATAAAAGAAGATAAAAATCAGCTGTGGAAAAGTTTTAATGCAACAAAATGATAAATGCAGCCCAGAGAGAATATGTGAGAGTTTTATAAAAAATACATTTCTCTTGCTGTGTTTCCTGTTTGGTAAATATTGCTCCAGGAATCAATGTCCCAGAGTTAGATAATAGCCAAACAGATTTGCTTTTACAAGTAAACTTTTATGATTGTTGCTAAAAGGTTCTGCTTGGAAGTTATTCATAGAGCTTTTTTTAGGAATAGCTTAAAGTTCTTCAGCATTTGCAACAAGACACTCCATATCTGTTATCAGTCTGTTGTGGAGTGTGATCTCCTCTACTATCATCTGCTGAGGTAACTGCATCAGAAAAAAATGACTTTAGAGAGAATTTTTTTTTTTTATATACTTACTTTGGCCCCTTGACTTTACTTTATTACATCATGTTCTACTCATCCATATGGGTTTTGTGTCATTTGGAGGTGTTCCAAAGATATTCCGTTAGGTTATATCCAAGTAACGTCTTCCTATGAGCAACGACTTGAAGGCACAAACTAAACTGTTCATAATTTATCATTTATGGTACGCCAGCCAGCATTCATAACATGTCGTTATATTTTTTGTATTTATATCTTTTAAAAACAAAGCGGCGCATGTATGACGTCATCCGAGAGCCGCACTGGAGTTTTTTGGGGTTTTTTTCTAAAAAAAAAATTATTTAACCAATGTACATTACATCAGGCGGCTACGCTCTACTCCTTCTATTCATTCGGCTAGCTAATCTGAGTCGTTCAATTCCATTTCAAGAGTGAGATCATCTGTGGTAGCAGCACTAGACATCTTCCAGGCATGTGAGTAAAACTAGCAGCAGTTCAGCGGACAGGATGAGTGAATGGTAGCCGGCACGCTCGGATGACATCACACACACTCCGCTTTGTTTTCAAAAGATGTAAATATAACAAATATAACCGTGGATGTCTGGAGGACAGTGATTCGCCTACATGCTATGAATGCTGGCGTACCATAAATGATAAATTATGAACAGTTTAGTTTGTGCCTTCAAGTCGTTGCCCATAGGAAGATGTTACCTGGATATAACCTAACGGAATATCTTTAGAACGGCTCCAAATGACACAAAACTCATATGGGTGAGTAGAACATGATGTAATAACGTAAAATCAAGGGCCCAAGGTAAAAAAAAAAAACAGCGTTCCCCTTTAAAAAGGAGCTCCATAAAGCTAAAAACAGTGAGATTCCTCTTCAGAAGATTGTTAGACAACAAAAGTGTCTTCAGTCAGAGTTTCCTCTAGATCCGGTGAAGCACAGACCACTAGAGTAAATCTTTCCTGCCTTCAGCTATCGACATTAAAAAAAAAAAAAAAAACTCCCCCAGGATTTACTGAAGGGATTAAAGTATTCCAGGCCGGATTTCCGGCAATCGTAGTGATTGCCTGTGGGTAAAAAAAAAATAAAAATGACTCGTAAATAAATTTAATGTGGACTGTGAAATAAGATCTAATTTTCTTTTCCATGGGACAAATGTTAAATCAAATTATTTTGGTCAAAAGCCATTTTTTTTCTCACCGTGAACTAACGTGTTTCCATGTTCTTTCTCCTAGATCAACAAACCAGAAGGAGGAGTTAACTCCTGGAATTCACTTTGAAGATCTGACCTCAGACCAGTGAAACTAACAGTCATTGTTACTGAGAGGAGAAATGGCTCAGAAGGTTACTAATCTAGAGCAAGAAAAAATCTCCTGCTCCATCTGTTTGGATCTGCTGAAGGATCCAGTAACCATTCCCTGTGGTCACAGCTACTGTATGGACTGTATTAAAGACCACTGGGATACGGATGGTCCAAGGAGGAACTACAGCTGCCCTCAGTGCAGGAAAGAATTCAGACCAAGACCTGTCCTGCAGAAGAACATCATGCTAGCTGCTTTAATCGATGATCTAAATGGAATCCACATTTCTCCAGCTGATCACTGCTATGCTGGACCTGAAGATGTGGCCTGTGACGTCTGCATCGGGAGGAAGCTGAAAGCTGTCAAGTCCTGCCTGGTTTGTTTGGCTTCTTATTGTGAGAATCACCTCCAGCCTCACTATGATGCTCCACCATTAAAGAGACACAAACTGACACACCCTGTGAAAAAGCTCCAGGAGATCATCTGCTCTCGTCACGATGAGGTGATGAAGATCTTCTGTCGTACTGATCAGCAGTGTATCTGTTATCTCTGCTTAATGGATCAACATAAAGGCCATGAAACAGTCCCAGCTGAAGCTGAAAGATCTGAAAAGCTGAAGGAGCTTCACCAGAGTCTGCAAAAAATCCAGCAGAGAATCCAGGACCAGGAGAAGGAAGTGAAGCTGCTTCAACAGGAGGTGGAGGCCATCAATGTCTCTGCTGATAAAGCAGTGGAGGAAAATGAGAAGATCTTCACTGATCTGATCAATCAGATCCAGAAAAGAAGCTCTGATCTGAAGCAGCAGATCAGATCCAAGCAGGAAACTGAAGTGAGTCGAATCAAAGAGCTTCAGGCGGAGCTGGAGCAGGAGATCACTGAGCTGAAGAGGAAAGAAGCTGAGCTGGAGAAGCTCTCAAACACAGAGGATCTCAACCGGTTTCTCCAGAACTACCCCTCACTTCCAGAGCTCCCATTGAAACCACCAGAGATGCTGAGTGGCACATTGAAAAGGATCTCACTAAAGGTCCCTGGAGTGACCTTCAGTGAGTCTACACACTCATCCAGCATCAATATTCGTCCTCTGACGTACTTTAAGGATGTGACAGCAGCTGTGTCAGAGCTCAGAGAGAAAATACAGAAAACCTTGAGTTCCTCCTGGACAACCGTTTTCCTGACGGATTTAGGCGCCGTATGGCCGGCGATATTCTTAAAACGGTCACAAGATAACCCTCTAGATCCAAACAGAAATCTGATATCATCCGACTGGATCAGAAAAACACAGATGCAACAAGAGCAATCCCATCCTGACCGTCCGGGCAGATTCAGCCTGGCAGATTCCTCCTCCAGTTCCCAGAGGTTCTGAGTAGAGATCGTTACTGGAGAGGGGCGGATCTAGACAAACATATCATGGTAGTCGATTAATTGTTTGGATTCGATAAAAATAGAGTCCAAACCACATTCACTAAACCTCTATATCCTGGGATTCTGTTTTCTTTTTTAAGTTTAGTTCTCAGCTAAAGCTCAGCTAAGCTTAGTTCAGAGATCAGCTGTTTTTTTGTCATTTTTATTTGTCATTTTTGTCATTTTGATGTTGTAGTTTGGGTGCTGCCCCTCCCTGTTTCTGTTTCATAGCCTGTCACTGCTCAGTTGTTTATATCCATTTATAGAAGCGCTGAGGGAAACTGTATATTAAAGTACATCAGTCGTTGATTCTATGGAAAAAGAGAAGCTTCTCGTTTGTTCTGATTGTAGAAATGAACAAAATGGAAATAAAAGTGCAGAATAAATCTCTTTTTGCAGACTTTTTTTGTTGTTTAAGGGGTTTTTATGCCTTTTTTTTCAGTGAATAAAACACTTTTAGACTTAGACGGATTTATTTGTCATTTTGGTTTAGAACAGCTCTTTACAATTTCTTTTTTTTTTTTAAGTGCGGCCTTGAAAAACAGTAAAAAATATATAAAAACAGTAATATATATATATATATATATATATATATATATATATATATATATCCGGTGACGTACAGACCCCTAAAGTAAATCCTTCCTGCCTTCAGCTATCAACATAAAAAAAAAATTGTTTTTTTTAACCCATTTCTTTAAATAAAATTCCATATCCACCTCTGTGGGCTGCTTAAGTTTACCAAAGAAAGAAACTAACTGGAACATTTAGGTCACAGAACCTCTATCTGTTTGAGGATTCATCAAAACATGGATGAGGAACAGCAAAGGAAATGATTCAGAAATTAATTTCATAAAACACACTGCATTAAATTTTTAATCTTAAGTCAATTTGTCTTAAAATAAGTGCATTTTTTCTTGTATTGAGGTAAGTGAGACACTTTGCCAATGGAACAAGACAATTTACATTTAAAATAAGAAAAAACAATTGCATTGTCTTATTTCAAGTAAACTTTATCTAATTATCTTATTTTAAGAGTAAAAATACTCATTCCATTGGTAAATCCTCTTACTTACCATCTCAAATTAAGGGTAAATACACTTAATTTAAGAAATCTTTACTTATTTCTAGATTGTTTTTGCAGTGCATGTAGAAGAGCCAGACTAACAGTTCTTATTGAACTTAGCCAACATGTCGATCTGCATTACTGGGTTTTACCAAAAGAACAAGCTTGCTTTCTCAGTAATGAGTTCAACTAATGGGTGCTGCAGTCGATCACGGAGCTCACTGAGAAACTACAGTGATAACTTGCATCATAAAACCATAGTCTTCTATAAAATCAGTGGGGATGACAAGATTTTATCATTTATGTCCACGTGTTACTCAGATTTTAACCAGAATCTGAATTAGATCAACATTACTACATTTTTGCATTTAAAAGTACCCCAGCCCTTGCAACAGGTAAACACTAAAAATGAGTTCTGGCTGGTAGCTAAGACTGATTACGCTCACTTTATTTCTGCAAGGTAACAAAATATTTACAGAATCTGTGACAGATTTTCATGTTGCAGTAACTATCTAAATTAGGCCTGGGCAATTCATTTAATTTTCAATATGATCTTAATTTAACAAAACACAGCTGTAAAATTGCAATATGATTTTTATTTATAGTATAATTTACCAGATTAAGGCACTAAATTTCTCCCTCCAGCCCTTTAGATGGTGATTAAATGCTTGTAGTGGATTTTTGATCAAACAGAAAGGTAGAGAGAGTTGCAGCTATAACACAGATCCATGCAAGTAGAAGTAAACACTTTTTTTCACACAGTTACAGTAAAGTCTTTTAACAATGGACTCCAAGCAAGCAAACCTTCAAAAATCGAAGGTCTGGGGTGAAACATTTAAAAGATTGGAGTTAATTCAAGAAAAATCTAAATAAAATTGCTATTTTGGTTAAAAATATTTGCAATTTAGTTTTGATAAAATAGTTGAGCCCTAATCCGAATTAAATTGCAGCTTTTAACCCTTTTAAAACCCGATCCAAGAATAAAACAAAACAGAAAATTACTTTTTTTTGGTTTGAATTCCTTATTTGGCCTTTTAACAAAATATGTAAAAAGAAAAAACAGAAATACATTTTTTATATTAATAATTTATTACTATGTGATAAGTCCAGATTATCTTTTGTGTAGTCTTCTACTGGCTGTTATCAGGTATATCTGATTGTGTATCTAGGATTTTGAGCAAAGTTTTTACCATTAAATTATGCAAAAGGTGTCAGACGCAAAACATTTCAGAAACCGTATGTATCAAATATGATACTTTTGGCATTATAGGGTTAAAGATAGAAGTATGTAACAGGTACAGGGGAGGACTAACCTCATCTGATTTACCTTACTGGCAAATGAGTGCAGGCCTCAGCAAAGTGTCTACAGAACAGTGAAGGCGTGGATCTGAGCCTCTGAGGGAGAGATGATGTCCAGTTACCATCAAATAAATTGATCCTCTAGAAAATCTGTTTCTGCAGGTTATTGTCAGGGGAAGATGGGAGCGAAAACTATCTGTTAAGGAATTCTGGTAAGAATGTATTTACAAAAAAGTATTTTCTTTATAATGAATATACATCTTTTTTGTAGTTTTGACTTAGTTTCCACACTGAGTTGGTTGATCTTTTAGCAAATTGTTTGTATTAAAGCCTGTGTACTCAATTAAATTATTACCAATTCCTGTATAAACTGTATATAGTTTTAAAATGTATTAATGTTATAGCCTCTTACAATTACTTTCTGTTTATATATAGCATTTCTGGTCCATACATACATAGTTTTCTATACACATGTAAAACAAATATATTTATATCCTGTATAGCACTTCTGGACGGATGCAAAGTAAATTTCGTTGTTTTGTACTTGTGACAGTGTAATGACAATAAAGTTATTCTATGATATTCTATGAAATGACATGATATTTTCTTATATTATATTCTATGATATTCTATTCTATGTTCTTCTATGATATTATATTTTATATTATAACAACTCAAAAGCTAGAATAAGGACACATTTAATCAACAATGTAACATAGAACCAATGAAAAGTACTACATCATAATTTATCAGGACAGACAGACAATCAAAACTAAGAGCTCGAGTCTTGTAATTTCAGACAAACACATACTATTCAGATTAACCCTGATTTTTAATCCAACATATTGCTTCCACTCCAGTCCAGCTGGTGGCGCTAATGCGCCAACGTCTATAAATCACTGAGAGGTAGCCCCTCCCATACGTACGCCCTGCGTCATGCGTCACAGATTCAAAAAATCACCGCGAAAGGCCAGTGCGACAACGACAAACCTCCACAGGGGTAAGTAATGTTATACTTTGACTGAAAACGCCTAAACATAGAAAAACAGAGCGCGGAAATACCAGAAAGCTTAGGATGAAAAATATATCTGACAGGAAAACGTTACGTCGTTTAACTGACGGTTAAACACCTCCTCGTAGAGACAATATGGGGACATGTTGGCTTCACTGTCAGCAGAGAAAAACTAGGGCTTTGTTTTAATGCTCCACTGGTTTTAATGATACAGCATTAAAATAGACGCAGTTTATGAGGTGATGAGTTTTTGCTGTCATGTCCTCCAGGCTTTCTGTCCATAATTATAAGAATAACTCATTTAAACGGTGAAAAAGGGTTGATTGTAAATTAGGGTGTTTCAGCTTAGCAGCATATCTACATGCACTACATCATTTCACTGCTTCTTTATGTTATTTTTTATTTTTTTATTTTATTTTGTTGGTTGAATTAAAATTGGGTTTTTATTTATTTTAACCTGATAATTCAGGAAAAAATAGCCTCTTGCATAGTGACTTAAAATTTGACCTTTTTTATAATTGTTTAAAAAAACATAACAACAATAACATAAAAATATGACTTGTATATACTTTTAGCATTTGTAAATTTATTTTGCTTAATTATGGAAAGCTTTACCAGGGTTTCTGCAGGTCATTAAAAGTCAATTATTATTATTATTTTTTTAAATTAAGGCTTTAATTAGCATTAAAATTCATTAAATGTGATTATCATGGCATTTAAAATGTTTTATAAAAAATAAAAAAAAAATGCTGTCATAATATATCAGATTTAACCCGTTCCACGTGTTTGCGTGGAACTGTTCCTGGTTGATTGTAAAGCCATATGTTCATATACATGTGTATGTATATATATATATATATATATATATATATATATATATATATATATATATATATATATATATATATATATACAGTGGTTTTTACCCGTGAAATAAGATAATTAGATATATATCGTGGTTGACGTTAGGGATTTTGACTCTCACATTTCATTTGCCTAGAAACAATTTTTACTTGCCCAGTATAATATTTGATAAATATAGTTCCTAATATTATGTTTGTATATATATCAAGGAAACATTTTTGTTTTTTAAATGTTTTTTTGTAATTCAGTATGTTTCCAGGTTCCTGGTGTGTATCTGCATGCGTCAGATAATAAACTCAAGCCTACATTACCGTGTTAACATGCTTTTCAATCCTTCCTGCACATTCTTTTCAAAATAAACTTTGCTTTAAACTGTTCTGTGCTTGGAAAAATATAAATTGTAATATTTACACGGTGCGCATACAATTATTATTATTTTCTAGATCCCTGACTGATCATTTGTAATTTAGCGTGTATTATAGTATAGATTAAATTCATCATCCAGCTGCTGCTCTGCAGAATTCTCTCCCCAAGGAGAGGAAAAATCACGCCATGAGTAATTGGTACTTATTGATGGCATTCAAACTATTTCTAAGAACATTAAAAGAGCATTAAATTAGAGTTTCTCCTTCCTGTATAACCCTATTTACAACCACACACTGTTATACAGTGTTTACCACTTTAATTATTCCCAACTATTGGACTTTGTTTACAAGTTTGAAGATGTTTCAAACCTGGAAAACAAAGTTCAGTGGGTTTGTTGTTTTATTTTAAACTTATTTTTAGAACATCTGTGTATTAATTGTGACCCATTGTAGCATAAAATCCCCATTTAATATAAATCTGATGCAATTCATAATGTTAAATAATTTTATAAATGTTAACCCATTAAATTAAAAGTAAAATTTTTTTTTTTTAATTTACATACATGTTTTTTCTGTTCTTTCTCATAGATCTACAAAGGAGTTGTTCCAGAGATTCACTATAAAAACACACCTTTATGATCTGACAGTCGGTGTTACAAAAAGGTAAAATGGCTCAGAGAATAACCAAATTGAAAGCGGAAAAAATCTCCTGCTCAATCTGTTTGGATCTACTGAAGGATCCAATGACTATTCCCTGTGGACACAGCTACTGCATGAAATGCATT